GAATCGTATCATTTTTCCACTTTAGCCTGTTGATAATGGTGGATTATATTGACTGATTTTCAAATATTGAACCAGCCTTGCATACCTGAAATAAATTCAACTTGGTCATGGTGTATAATTCTTTTTATACATTGTTGGATTTGATTTGCTAGTATTTTAAAAATTGGGAATTTTTACGTCTTAGTTCTATCTTTGTCTTGTGTTGGTGTCAGTATTTTTTGCCTCATAAAATGAGTTAGGATCTGTAGTAATATACCCTTTTTCATCTCCTTTTTTTAAAATTTATTTTCTTATCAGTCTTACTAGAGGTTTATCAATTGTACTGATTTTTTAAAATAAAAAGAACCATGTTTTTGTTTCATTAATTTCCTCTATTTTTCTGTTTTCAATTTCATTGATTTCTGGTCTTCTTTTTTTTTTATTTGTTTCTGCTTATTTAGTTTATTTTGGTCTTCTTTTTCTAGTTTCTTGAGGAAGGAATTTAGATTAATAATGTGTGACCTTTCCTCTTTTCTAGTGTGCAATAAATGTTTCAACACTGCTCTAGCTACATTGCATAGCACATATTTTGATATTCTGTGTTATTTGCATTCAGTTTTATGTTTGGTTTGTTTTTTAAAATTCCTTGGAGATTGCTTCTGTAACCCATGGATTATTTAGAATTGTCTAGAGATTTTCCTGTTGTCTTTCTGTTATTGATTTCTAGTTTGAGTCCATTGTGATTTGAGTACATACTTTGTATGATTTCAACTCTTTTAAATATGTTGATGTTTGTTTTATGACCCAGGATTTGCTCTATCTTGGGGAATGTCCCATAGGTGCTTTAAAAATATATATATTCTGCTGTTGTTCAGTAGCATAGTCTATATATAGACCTATCGGTTGATTGTGTTGTTTAAATCTTCTACATTCTTGCTGATTTTCTGTCTAGTAATTCCATCAGTTACTGAGAAGGATGAGTTGAAGTCTTCACTTGTAATTGTGGATTTGTCTCTCTTTTCAGCTCTAATAATTTTGTTCATGTATTTTGAGGCTCTGTTGTTTGGTGCATAGCATTAGGATCATTAAGTCTTCCTAATGAATAGATCCATTATAAACTATGTCATTATATAATGTCCTTCTTTGTCTCTGGTAATTTTCTTTGCTCTGAAGTCTACTTTATCAGTTATTAATATAGTCACTCCTGCTTGGTTTTGTTTGTTTGACTTGTGTTTGCATGTTATATCTTTTTCTGTTCTCTTACTTTAAATCTATCTATGTTAAATTTGAAGTGATTTTCATGTAAACAACTTTTTTTAAATCCACGTTGCCATCTCTGCCTTTTGTGTATTAGCCCATTTACATTTAGATAATTATTGACATATTAAATCTGTCAGTTTGTGTCTTCTGCCACTGTTTCTTGCTCTTTCTTTCTCTTTTCTTGCTTTCCTGTGGATTCCTTGAACATTTTTTTAGGACTCCATCTTGACTCATTTATAATTTTTGTTTGTACCACTTTAGATCGTTTTCTCAGTGGTTGCTCTGGGTATTAAAATATACATATGTGGGATGGTCACAATCTGCTGGTATCAATATTTTACCACTTTACTTCCATTTCAATCCCTTTTACCTTCCTTAACTTTAAATATTGTTGTCCTGAGTATCAGGTGGTGTTATAAATTTTTTGCTTCAGTTATCACATATGCTTTAGGAAAAGGGTTGTCTATTGTATTTACTTATATTTATACTTTTTTCATCATTCTTTCTTCCTTCCTGTTGCTCCAAGATTCCTTCTTTTAGCATTTCCTTTCTGTCTGAACAACTTCCTTTAGTTGTTCTTTAAGGCTAGGTCTACTAGCGACAAATTCCTTTAGTTTTCCTTCCTCTAAGAATGTCTTTATTTCTCTCCTTCATTCCTGAAGGATAGTTTCTTTTCTTTCAGCACTTGAAAAATATTGTGCCACTTCCTTCTAGCCTCCACGGTTTCATATGAGAAATCCATTGTCATTCTAATTGGTGTTCCAATGGGTCATTTCTCTCTGGGTGCTTTCAAGATTTTTTCTTTGTCTCTAGTTTTCAGAAGTTTATGATGTGGCTTGACACGGATTTCTTTGGGTTTACCCTTTTTTGAGGTTTGCTCAGCTACTTGAATCTGAAACTTTTGCTTAATTTGGGAAGTTTCAGCCATTATTTCTTCAAATACTTTTTTCAGCCCCAATCTTTTTCTTCTCTTTTTCTGAGACTGCAGTAATATAATGGATCTCTTGTTATTGCACAAGTTCATGGGCCTCTGCTCAATTTTTTTTCAGACAGTTTTCTTTTTGTTGTTCAGTTGGGTAATTTCTATTTATTTGTCCTCAATTTCACTGATTCTATCTGCTGTTATCTTTACCTACTAGTAAGTCCATCCAGTGAGTTTTTCTTTTGTGTGATTGTTCTGTATTTGTCTATAATTTCCATTTGGCTTTTTTTTTTTTTAATATAACATCTGTTTCTTTACTAAGATTTTATTTTTGTTCATTTGGTGTTATTGTATGTTGAATCATTTTTTAATGATGGTTTTTTAAAATCTTTGTCAGATAATTCTAGCACCTTATTCTCAGTGTTGGTTTCAATTGATTGACTTTTTTCATTGTAGTTGTGATTTTCCTGGTTCTTTGTATGATGGGTGGTGTTTTTTTATTGTATCCTGGACCGTTTGACTATTATGTTAATTTTTTTTTATTTTAGCAGGCAATCACCCTGTTTAGGTTTAACATGCGAGTCCTGGGCTACTTTTATGGTCTGTGGTTCCAGTAACAATCTAATTTTCAGAACCTTTGTCAGGCTATGTTGGTCAGCTTGGTTTTTCTCATACCACCAGGTCTCCTACTGGTCCCTGTTGGTGCTGTTTGAAGGGGTGGAAGGTGCTTCCTCAGGCTTGTGTCTTTAGGTGGGGGAAGGGAGTCTCTAGCCCTCAGAGATGGAGAGCACTTCATAGGCTGGGTACTTGTTGTGGCTAGATCCTCTTTGCCAATACCCTCACCTACACAGTGTCTTTGGGCAGGGGTGGGGAACATCTCAGGCTCAGTGGGCTAGGAAGATGCTTGGCCCTGGTCAGCTGAGCTTCCTATTGACCCCCCTTGCCAGTTCTACCAGGCTTGCCTGGTGTTGTCAGTGGACTCTAACCCCATACAAGGATAAATAAGCCTACCTAGTCTTCTGTTGGTAGACTGAGGATAGGAAAACGCTAGCAGGTTCACCTTCTTCTGTTGGGTGGGGAGTCATAAGATACCCTGCCTCTATGTTGTTCCTCTGGTTCTGGGGTCCATACCAGCTCACCTTTCTCTTTTCATTTTTGAGAGTTCTCTGTTGGTTGTCTCGAGTTATTTCTTGGATTTATAGTTGTACTTAATAGGGAAGAACAGAGAGAGACAAGTCTATGCCATCTTGTCTGGACTGGAAGCCCCTCAATCCCCACTGAAGGGTTTTAAAAACCCATGGGTGACATGATCAGATTTGGTTTCTGAAAAATCAGTAGTGGATGGCAAGATGGAAGGCAGCTGTCAGAGCAGTTGAGGTTATGAAGGATTCAGGTAAGGCAATGGAATAAGGATCATAAGAGGCAATTTAGAAATAGTTGAGAGGTGAAGATGATAGTCCTTAAGTGGAAAGTGTGAAGGAAAGGAAGAGAATGAATGTCCTGCATTTCTGGTTGAGCAACCAGGATGGATAGATGGATGGGTTTGCTGACTGAGAAAGAATGCAGGCTTCATATCAGCTTTGTGGAAGGATACTGGGCTTAGGTTTGGCCATGGTGGGTTTTGGTGCCTCGGGTACAGGGGGTGAGATGCCCAGCAGGCAGCTAGATGGGCAGCGTTGAATGGGGAGGCTGGGCCTGGGGGAGAGTCAGGGTGGTCCCTGGTTCATGAGCTCGAAGGGTAGCCAGCAGAGCAGAGGACTGAGGATGGAGGAAACATACACCCTACAACAATGGTGTGTTCTGATTCCCGTTTTCCCCACTATCTGCGAGCTCTGGTTGGTAACAATGTTTCATTCATCTCTGCCTCCCCGTGCCTGGCACAGGGTGGGTGCTCAGTGAATCTGGGTGGTGGAGTGGGCTGTGTGGAAGCAAAAAGTGCATTTCGGGAAGGCAAAGGGGAAAGTTTTTATTCTGGAGGCTGTGGCCGTGGCGGCTGCCAAGAACAGAAGAAGGCGCATCTCTTGTCGTTTCTTTCTAGTACCTAGAGAACTGAGGGGCTGGGAGGACAAATAACCGAGCTATAGAGCGCTGTGGAGACCCAGGGCTCAGGGAGCGGTCTTGGGCCTCCTTCCCTGCCAGTGCTCCCGCAGTCCCTGGTTGCCTTGGGGACGGGAGGCCGTTTCCGAGGAGACCGACGACAGCTAGGATCAGCCAATCGCGTGGGATTCCCCCGCCCGCTGCAGCTCACCTTGGGTCTGGAGGAGCCCGGCTGATAATGGCTAAGGTCCCCTCCTGGCCCTTCACACACCCTCTGCGTATCCGCAGGGCGCAAGCGGCTCCGCGGCCCTTTGCTTTCTGAATCTCCTTCACACTGAGGTCGCGACAGGGCAGGACACGTGCCCAGCCCCTCGCGGCGTGCCCTCCCAGCCCAGCCCTCGGCGTCGCCCCTGCCTCTGTCCAGGCCTGCTGAGGGATGCCGCCCACCCGGGGCCAGTGCAGCCGCCTCAGGCGCCGTACCCTCATGGGGTGGCCGCCTCACTGAGCCGGTAGGCCGGTGCACTTGCTCCGTTCGCCGCAGCACCCGGGTTAAGTGTCGGGAAAGGGGAGGCTGTGCCGCCCCGCCCACTCTGCGCCCCGCGCCCGCCGCAGCGCCTGGCACGCGCGCGCACAAGCTCACTCGGGACGCCAGGCGGGCGGGGTCCTGACGTCACGCGACCCCCTCCTCCCTCCAGGCGGAGGGGCGGTGGCCTCGCAGACTCCGCGGGCTGCCGCACGCACTGACCGGCCGACCCGCCGACGTACTGACTGACTGCCGGCCCGGCGGGTGCACGGCCAGGCCATGCCTGGGGAGGCGGCCCGCGCGGAGCTGCTTCTGCCGGAGGCGGGCGGCCCTGGCCCGCGCACAGGTGAGTCTTTGGCCCTGAGTTCGGCGCGCCCGTCTGCAGTCCGGCGCCGGATGCTCTGCCCCCTGCCGTCCCCGACCCCCCTACTCCTCGCCACCTCTCCCTCCTCGGCCGCCCTGCCGTCCCCATCCTCTCGGGTCCTTGCCTCCCTCCACCTGGAGCCTGCACACCCACCCCCTGTCCCACTCGGAAGGGATGCGGGGGAGGGGTGCGACCAGGGAGTGTCGGAGGGGCGGTGTCCCGGGACTCGGGCGCCGGAGCGAGTCGTGTATCCCGGCTGGAGGCCGGGCGCCATGCCCCATTGTCTGCGAAGAGCTGCGGCCCGGGCGGGGCAGGGCGGCCCGTGAGGTGGCAAGGAGCGGAGGCTCCGGGCGGCGAGCCAGCGGCGACCCTAAAAGCCGAGCTCTCTCGTCCGGCCTCCAGGGAGTGGAGAGCCTGGAAGGTGTTCGGAACTGCATCCTGGCGCCACTGGGGCCCCGCGCCGGGCAGGGCAGGGGCGCCTGCCCGCCTGGATGCCCGAAGGCTGCCCCAGGGGACCGGCGAACTGGGAAGGGGGGTGGGCGGATTGATCACCGCCCAAGATGAGCAGCAGCACTAAGTTTGAGCCTGGGGACGCCCAGGCCGAGGGGAGGGCTAAGAAAGAAAAGGCCGAGTTGAGTCTGGGATGTAGGAGACGCTGGGGGAAGGGCAGCAGGGAGTAGAGAGAGGCCGGAAGAGCAGTGGCAGGGGTGCAGACAATCTGGGTGTCCTTGGAGCGGTTGTGTCAGCAAGTGCTGGTGGAGGCGGATGGGGTCTGTCTTGGATCTGGGGAAGCTCAGTACTCGGGTGGCCTCCAGCGTCCAGGTCAGGCGCTGTGGATGGTGCTGCCTAGCTGGTCATGGCTCAAAAATGGCCAAGGGCACCTTGCTCAGTGGGCAAGGAGTCAAGGGCTTTGGCCCTGGGGATGGACCAGTGTTGGGTGTAGAGGCTGAGGAGACGCACAGGCTGCCCCTCCCAGGGCCGGTAGAGGGTAGGGAGGATGCAGTGCAGGCCTCCAGGTCCCATGTCTGGGGTTTTGTGCTGGCTCTGCTCCCACTGACTTGATGACCTTGAACAAACCGTTGGCCTTCAGTTTCCCCCTTCCATTCTGACCTTGGTCCAGCTCCCCCAACACCCCACCAAGAAGACATTGGAGCCCCACGCTAGTGGGCAGGGCTACACCAGGGATCAGTGCCAGGAGCCCCAGCCTCGGCATACCCAGTGCCACCCTACACTCCTCACCAGCCACGCCCACTGCCAGGTGTTGGGTTTCAGTCCCTCCCCAGCCTCTCAGGATCCCCTGGCCATCCCAGCACCCGGCTTCCCAGCTCCTGCAGGAGCCCAGAGTGGTGCGGCCTGAGGATGCGTGCCAGCCAGCCCTGCCGAGGAGAGACAGGCGCCTTGGCCAGGAGGGTCACACCCTTCTCCGTTCAAGCTCAGCAGAGATCTTGCCAGCAGGCTTGTACCCGATTTTACGGATGAGAAAGCTGAGGCACAGAGAGGTTTGGTAATTGTGGGAGGTTACACAGGGAGTGTGGTGGAACTGGACCAGGGCTGTCTGGAGCCTTGCTCTCCCTGCAGCCAGGGACTCAGCCTGGGCAGCTGTTCTGTGCTGCCACCTCCCCTACCTTCTTCTCTTTTGGGCAGTGACTGGCCTGAGCCTTTGGTGGGAACAGCAGGGCTTTCAGCAGATGCTTCAAACGTAGGTGAAGGTCCAGGTGTGCAGACTGCTGGGGGGCTGGTAGGCACCCCTTAAATGGGACCTCAGACAGCCTTTGAAAATGAGGCTTAGTAGCATGTAAATGTCACTGAAAAATGTGTATGAGATAATGTTGGTAAAAACAGCAAGGTTCAAAATTGAGTGTGCAGTATGAGCTCAGCTAATAGAATACAAGTCTATAAAAAATAAACTAGGAGGAATAACATTAGCAGAGGTTTGGGCTGTAGTGTAACTCTGAGAGCCTCTCTCCTGCTCCCCTGGGCTTCCTGAGTATTTCCCGGCACACGCCCGTGTTTGATCATATGCGTGTGCAGCAGAGCTGTCAGGTGGAGGTGTGGCTTGGTCCACAAGTGGGTACTGAGCTCTGCCTGTGCTGAGGCCGTGTCACGGTGGAGCCTAACAGGAGGGGAGATGTGTGAGGCAGGGCAGGAAGGGGGCTCACCCTGTGAAGGCATTGGGGTGCACCCGCTTGTTCTGGTTCCCGGCAGGGGAGGCAGACCCTGCCCGTGCCGAGGAGGTGCAGTAGTACCCACGGGCTGCCGTATTGGTTCTCAGAAGGCACGTTGGGGTGGCTGCCATCGCAGGCCTGAAGCTTCCCCAGCCCCTCTGTGAGCCAGATGGCTTCCCCGCGCCAGCCCTGCAGAACAGGGCAGCCTTCCTCTTTCTGTGCCCATGTGAGAGGTCATGTCACACCTGCACGGCCCTTCTGGCCAGACACCTGAGAGGTTTGGTAACTTGTTCTTCTTGGTGGCACCCCCGGTACGTCTCAGTGGGACACTCCACCTTTCCAGTCTCCAGAGACTTGGCTGCATGCAGGACCCTGGGCCCCTTCTCCCTGTGCCAGAGGGACTTGTTCTGGGGAGCAGGGGTAGGGGCCAAAGCCCTGGTGAGGCCCTGGCAGGTTAACCTAAGTGTAGATGGTGAGGGGGGGCATGGGAGGAGCCAGGGATGGAGGGTGGAACCCCTCCCCCCCACAGCCAGTATAAATGAGACCCAGGATGGACTAGATTTGCTCCAGTCACACCATGTGGTCAGAACAGAGCTGGAGTCAATGCAGGACCCTGACAACCAGGGCGGGCCCTTCGCCTTGCTTTATATGGCTGGTCTGGTGAGGAGGGCAAGAGGAAGGACTCTGGGCTGCCCACAGATTCACCTTCTCCTGCGAGGCCCAGCCCAGATTACAGTAAAAAGAAGCAGCAAGCCAGTCTCCAAAGGAGATGGGAAAGCAAGTTAAATCTTTACTGGAGTTTCTCAGAGAAAAGCCATGGGAAGAGTCCACTTATAACCTGCAGCAAAGCTCCTCCAGGCCTCTGCCCTCACCCAGCGCCGCCCCGCCTCTGCAGCCAGTTGCTCAGTGCTCAGTCAGAACTCCTAAAATCCCTCCCTCATGCCGTCCACACCGCTGCTTTTCTCCCTCATCCTCCCAGGCCCCCTCTCCTCTGAGCCCTTTCAAACATAAGGCCACCTCATCTTCTGGGCTCCCCTCACTCTCAGCCTATCTCTCATCTGAGAAAGGAGAGGCAGCATAGCTTTGGAGTGCTGCTTCTGTGTGGTGTGGCCAGCCCACGGATCCTGTGCCCTTTCCCATCTCTTCCTCTGTCTCCACAGATTTGTCCTGTGATGCTGCTGCTGCCACCACCCCAAGTGGGGACCAGCTGGAACGCTGTGCCCAACCTCCAGGGTCCACTCCTCTGGCTGTCACGTACCTGCCCAGCAAGCCAGGTGCCCGGCCCCAGCCTGAGGGAGCCAGCTGGGATGCAGGGCCAGGCCGGGCCCCATTGGCGTGGGCACTCCCAGCCGAGGGCAGCCCCAGCCCAGTGCCTCCCGAGGGCCAGCCAGTGGAGGCTTCCCTCCCAGCTGCTTTGGAACCACGGATTGTGATGGGCGAGGAGACGTGCAGGCCTCCCCCACTGCCCAGGGCAGCCCCCCAAGAGCTCAGGGACTGGGCAGGTGGGCACACCGACCTGAACCCACCCCCTGAGTTATGTTCTCAGGATGACCCTCCTGTGCCTTGCCCTAACCCAGACTCCGATTCCTACTTCACGCCCCCCTCAACCCCTCCGCAGACCATCTGTGCCCTGCCTCCAGGCCTCGGGCTGTGCATGGAGGCCTGTGACTCTGAGGCAGAGCTGCTTGACTCACCGCCCACCTCACCCTCGGGCTCCTACATCACAGCAGATGGGGACAGCTGGGCCTCCTCCCCATCCTGCTCCCTCAACATGCTGGCCCCGGCGGAAGGGCTGGACCTCCCCTCGGCCTGGGGCTTCTCTCCTCCAGCCACCACGGCCGGGGAGCAGGAGCCTCATGCTACGGGGCCCCCAGACCCCCACTCCTCTGCATCCAGCCTCTCGGCTGACAGCAGCTCTTCCTGGGGCCAGGAGGAGAATCTCTTTGACCTGGACTTTCTGGCAAATGACCCAATGATCCCTGCAGCCCTCCTGCCCTTCCAAGGCAGCCTCATCTTCCAGGTGGATGCAATAGAGGTCATGCTGCTGTCCACTCCGGAGGAGGAGGAGAAGGTGGAGGCCAAGGCTCCTGGCCCGGGCGGAGACCTGGGTGGGGAGGGTGAGGATGACAGCACGTCCGCTTCCTTCCTGCAGTCGCTGTCAGACATCTCCATCATTGAGGGCATGGATGAGGCCTTCGCCTTCCGGGATGACACCTCGGCGGCCTCCTCCGACTCAGACTCAGCCTCCTATGCTGGGGCAGATGATGAGAGGCTGTACAGTGGGGAGCCACATGCCCAGCCCAGCACCCTGCTCCAGGATGGCAAGGTGGAGGAGAGGCAAGAGGATTGGGCCCCATCTTTGGGCCAGGAGGAGCCCACACCCCTGGTCTTGAAAGGAGAGGTTGCTGAAATAATGCCGTCCCAGGTGCCACGTGGTGAAGAGGGCTTCCTCTTGGGCCAGGAGGCAGCTGCCGCAGTAACACCACACAGTCAGCCGGCAGAAGCAGGCCCTGGTGTGAGCCCAGAGCCAGCTGCCATAGGCCCACCTCAGCCTGGGGAGGAAACAGCAGACTCCTCTGTAGGGCAAGAGGATGTTGCCAGGGTAACATCTCCGCTCCTGCCAGAAGAAGGCTTCACCTTAGGCCAGGTCGCTGTGGCAACACCTCTGACATTACAGGAGGAAGTGAGTGCTACCTTAGGCCATGGGATTGCTGCTACAGAAACACCCCAAACCCTGAAGGAAGAAGTCAGCCTCATACCATGCCCAGATTCGCTTGCTATGTCAGTGACTCTTCAGAATGAAAAGGAGGAGGTAGGCCCAGGCCTCACCTCAGGTCAGGAGTCTGTTGCTACAGCAACACCTGTGCCCCTGTACGAAGGATGCATTTTATGCCAGGAGTCTGTTTCTATGACAACTCCTCTGACCCTGCAAAGAAAAGCCAGCCTCACTTTACACCGGGAATCTGTTTCTATGGCAACACCTCTTCCCCAGCAAAGAGAAGCAGCCCTTCCCTTAGGCCAGGAGCCTGTTGCTATGGCAACCCCTCAGACCCTGCAGGAAGAAGTAGGCTGCCCCCTAGGGACAGCGCCCGCTGCTCCTGAGGCAGTTCTGGCCCTAGGACTGATGCCTGCTTCTGAATTAGTGGCTGTGGCAAAGCCATCGGCTGCAGAGCCAGAAGCAGAACCTGTAGCCTTGGACCAGGCCCAGCAAGATGGAGTAGGCCCCACCTTAGACCTGAAGCTGATGGCAGAAGCTGTGACCCTCATGGCCTCAGGGAGAGATGCAGATGTCACCTCAGAGCCTGTACCTGGCAGGGGAGAGGGGCAGGAAGCAGCAGGGGGACCCTCAGGGCCTGAGCCAGGGCCTGGCAGTGGCTTCCAGCACACAGATGATGGGGCTGGGGGGCTCGAGAGCCAGGGGGACAAAGGCCTCCCTGCAGAGACCCCAGATGCTGGAAAGCCTCCAAGTACTAGCAGCTGGGCAGTGGATCTGGCCACCAGCCCAGAGCTCAGCCAAGGAAGGGAGCCTGAGCTGCCTGCATCCATGGCCTCAGAGGCTGGGCTCGGCTCCAGTGCAGAGTCTTCAGCAGGGGCTGTGCCCAGGCCTGGCAGGGGCTGCCCTGGAGAGCCCATGCCTGCTACAACACCCCTACTTCCCTCCTGGGGGCTGGAGCCTGGGGCCGGCCTCAAAGCCCCCCAGCCCTGCCTGGGTGTGGAGGAGCAGACCCAACCGGCTTCCAGTGGCCTCAGCCACTCCCCCTGCCAGTCCCCCAGTCCCTGTGCCCAGGACCTGCCCACTGAAGCCCAGGAGAGGTCTCCGCCCACCGAGGCCGTGGGCCTGCCCACTGAGGCCCAGGAGAGATCCTCACCCACTGAGGCCCAGGACCTGCCCACCAAGGCCCAGGACAGGTCCCCACCCACCGAAGCCCAGAACAGGTCCTCTCCCACTGAGGCCCAGGACCTGACCACCGAGGCCCAGGACAGGTCCTCACCCACTGAGGCCCAGGACCTGCCCACCGAGGCCCAGGACAGGTCCCCACCCAC